TCCCAAAGAGGACCGTCAGATAGCAAAAACCCAAGAGAAACCCAACAAGCTGGATGGTCTAATGGTGTTGGAGTTACAGTTTCTTTTGCCTCTTCTGCTCTGTCGCTTTACTACTTTTTTCTCACTCTGCAATAACTACCAGCAAAGAAAAAAACACGCAGTGTCTTCAGGCCTTCAGACAAGCAGCACCGTGTGTTTTCATACTGCATATAGATGCCAAAGCAATTGGCACTGGCCGTCTGGCCCAGCACTCAACCTGCCAATGTACTCATTTTTTGTGCATTAGTAGCACTAATACATATTTGGAACAGAATTGTATGTACAACCACATTATGTGTACAAACATAATGGAGCAAGTCAGGCAAGCCCTTATACCAATTTTTCGTATGAGAAACAAATTTTATTATCCCTAAATCCTGATATAATTTATTTCTCTTTAAAGAATAACTAAGTTTTATTATCTTAAAAAAAAGATTCCTAACTAAGTTTTATTATCTTAAAAAAAATTCCGGGTGCATGCCAATCAGATTTTCAATCATCCACTGCGTATAAAATTGAAACATCATATAATATTTAAATATTCACATTATTTCAGATTTAGAAACAATATATTACAACACTTCTATAGTCTGACTAAATTCTGACGAGGGGGACATCTATTCAACTAGAATAAATATTCACAAACTAACTTACAGTACCTACTTATTGATGTACAGTACCTAATATTCAATCTCACTAGTACTGGTGGAAAAAAGTTGCACTTACCATAAGCTTACATAATACACTTACCTTCTCCAATACCGTCTCATTCGATCAGCACTTTCCCGACTTTGACTACTGTGTTGGACAGCTTCATTTCACTTTTGTAGCTTATGCTACTGGCCACGTAAAACATTGTAAACTCGATGAACCTTACAAAAAGACAAAATTATATCTCAGAAAAAAAAAACTAATGTTGTTGTGCTAATATAACAGTAAAATAGTTGTGCTCGTTGAATCAGACATGATCTGCTAGTAAAACTTCACAAGTATCCGATTCTTACCCATCTATTGAAATGGTAATTATATTCAGTTTTCTCCAAGATCTCATCACCACCCACTAGACTTGCTTCTTTTATCGTCGTTTCACTATAATACTATCACTATATAGTTGAAGTTGATAAAAAAAGGGTGAGAGTATTTTTAGGGTAGATCTGGTATGCTTGTGTGATTCTTAAGCGAGCTATTTATGTGCAAATTTTACACTGAGACTATGTTTAGTTCACACTGAAGTTTGGAAGTTTAGTTGAAATTGGTACGATGTGATAGAAAAGTTGTGTGTGTATGAAAGGTTTGATGTGATGAAAAGTTGAAAGTTTGGAAAAAAAAAATTTAGAACTAAACAGAGCTTCTCTCTTCAAGTTTTAGATTCATAGGACATTGACATGAAGTCATGGATAACATATTAGCTAGGCACTGATGAATGTGCCTGAATCCTGAAATACATGCAACATGCATTGCTACGTACTCCGTACTGACCAGTAGTCATTGACCGAGTTATTATTTCCTAGACTAAGATAGGCTATGTTCGGCACTATCATATCTGAGGTTCTACTCCCTCGTTTTTCACATGTACACTTCTCGAACGGCTAAACGATATAGTTTTTCAAAAAAAAATACTAGATATATAGAAAAATTGTTTTAGAAAATCATAAAAATTCATTTTTAAGTTTTTTGTTATTATTTAATTAATTATGTGCTAATAAACTGCCTCGTTTCACACGCCGGAAGAAGTTCCCAACTTCTCACACACACACCCTAAAGCCCAGGTACAGCTCAAGGCCCAAATATAGAACTGAGTTTGGCCCACCATAGGGCTCATACAAGCAAGTGGGCCGACAACACAGTCTATTCTCTTCTGTCAAATCAAGATTAGCTATTGAAACCCATATAGCAAATAGTCATCATGAAAATCATCTTTCAATATCCTACAAAAAGCAGTCTTCACGAATCCAATCAGAATAGCCAAAACATCAGGCAAAATACCTTTATTTTGTTCCACTATGCATATGATACTACTATGCTTGTTGATGTTATACTCTTAAAATCTGTAGTGAAGAGTCTTTCATTCCACGATTAAAATACTCTTACAATTGATAGCAAAGAGTGTATGATTCCTTGTAATAAATGTAGGCTAACCAGTTAGAATTGTTGTGATCCTTTTAACCTTTCCAGTGGTTTTTTTCTTCCCGACAGAAGTTTAGGCTTTGTCCCACTGCTCTGTCTTTTTTTTTTTGGACATTAAACTATTTGCTACTTTTTAATTTAGCGTTTAACTATTTACCACTGACATATTCGATTAAAACTTATTTTTTTAGTGGGACTAAAACTTGTTAACTGTGTGTTTTATACTTTTGCGTAAGAGATTGAGGATGTAAAATATTTACACTATAAATTAAACTATCCCTTTTGTTTATGTCATTGTGTGTGTTTCAACGGGCAGCAAATGAGCAAAATCCATCGTTCCATTGCTCTCATCTCCCAGGGGAAAGAGGAGAAAAGAAGGCAGCCTATAATCATCTCCCAGGCCACGTTCATTTTTTCATCTCACCCGTGAGCTGACAATCTGAACTTTGATGGCTACTGCTGCTAGTACTTCACTCTCACTGCTACTCACTGTCACTCTCGTTCCCAAATCAAAATGGGCCCATCAGAATTCAGAGATCAAAAACCCAAGAGAAACCCAACTGGATTCTTTATATTCTAGCCAATATTTTTTTAAAAAAAGTTATTTTTTAATTTCTTCGGTGCCAAACTTTTCATATGTTACATTTTTGGATGGAGCTAGTAGAAGTTTTTTTTAAAAAAATCAAATAAACCTATTTTTAAATTTATAGTAATTGATTCTAACTTAATCATATGCTAATGATCCGTCCTGTTTTTTAGCCATCAACAACTATAGCCGTACAACACATTCGAATTGAACCTAAGTTTTTGAAAATTATAAAATTGTAAAAAAAATAAAGAAAACCCAACAAACAGGCTGATGTAATGGTGTGGGAGTTTCATCTTCATTTGCCTATTCTGCTCTGCACTTTTCACTCTGCCACCATGCGTACCGGCAAAGCAAAAAAAAAAAAAAACACAAGAGTCTTCAGGCTTTCAGACAAGCAGCACCGTGTGTGTAGTGTACATAGATGCCAAAGCAATCGGTACTGGACTAGCACTACTACTGCCCTGCCATTGTACTCACTAGTGTTTGTGCATTAGTAGAACTAGTATTTAGAACAGAATTGTAGTATGGCTGCGATTAGTTCGTGTGCCAAAAAATAGTATACGGACACACATTTAAGTATTAAACGTAGACTAATAACAAAACAAATTACAGATTCCACCTGTAAACTGCGAGACGAATTTATTAAGCATAATTAATCCGTCATTAGTAAATATTTACTGTAGCATCACATTGTCAAATCATGGCGTAATTAGACTCAAAAGATTCATCTTGCGATTTACATGCAAACTGTACAATTGGTTTTTTTTTGTCTATATTTAATGCTCCATATATGTGTCTAAGCATTTGATGTCACGGAAAAGTTGGAAGTTCGAAGAAAAAAATTTAAATCTAATCACGGCCTATGTACAACTACATGATGCCTACAGACATAATGAAGTATATAATTCATCAATCACACCACTCATTAGCCATGTTTCCATCACCTAATTACAACCCATGTTAGCATTAGATGTTGGCCCTGAATCATGACAGTGTTGCACAGCAGCATTATGCAGAGATGCAATGGAAACAGAGGCAATGATACCTCATGATACTTCACATGTCACCACTATATACATACACACAAGCATCATTCTGCTCATCTAGTGTTATGTGAGCAAGACAAGCAACCAAAAAAAAGAAAGGATTTTGAGGCCATGATGGTGAAGAAAGAAGGTGAAAAGGTTTTGCTTGCATAGAGATGGATCATGCTTTGCATGTACTGATGATGTTCAGAACGTCAGATGCTTGGACAGATGAACAGGTTCTCCAATATGCAGCCATAGTGTGTGACAACCAATTTCCAGCATGTTTATATGGCATGGCATGATATGAATGTCTCGGATTCCCAGAGATTGAGACTGTAACTTTGTTTGTAGCTTTGTTTAAAGGTTAAACAAAAACAACAACAGACACTCCAACAAAGCAGGTTAGACAGACATGTTTTGCACAGCTTTGCATGAGGTAGTAGAATCCGATATGGAAGACTGTAACAACGGATCATTCTGGTGAATTCTTCAGCTCCTAAAGTGAATTTGAAAAAGGGAGAAAGGAGAAGAGGAAAGGGAAAGCAGCTCGAATCTTCAGATAAAATTCAGTGAAGAATATGATGCAGCTTCAGTGCTTTTAAGTTTTTTAGAACAAAAGTGATTTCATGTTTCATCCAAGTAGCTACACTGCATTTGTTCTTCGGAACTACAGTTGGTAAAGTCTTTTCCTCTTCAATGCTGAATGTTTGCTTTGCTGTGGGTATTAATTCCCAAATTTTCAGAATTAAAGTAGATTCTGTATTTCATAGTAAATTAAATTATTTCTAGTGGTGAGAGATACAACAATCTTCAGCAGATCCTTACTGAATCGTACAGGGGCAAAACATTTCCGAATTGTACTGAATTATTCTTCAATGCTCAATATTTTAGTAGTTAAACCCTGAATGTATTTCCATTTTGGATACTGGGATCAATTCTATGGCTCGTACAGATGTAATTCATGTCAATTCACATCAGATAAATTATGTCCAGCGTACTGGTTCTTTTTCACAATCAATTCCATAATAAACCTTATTGTACAATTTAGTCCAGGATTTATAGCACATCAAGATCAAATTTATTCAAGATACAACTCATCATGACAATTTTCACTTGTTTGCATCAACAACTCTCAACAACCCAAAGTACTTACAGCTCCACATAACAGATTGTTGTCATTTGATTTGAGATTCACAAGAGGCAATTTTAGATGAAAATTCGCAAAAGACTGGATTAATAATAGATAGAAACAGGGAACATATCTTTACACCAAAGCTTTTCTATGTAAATTGCATCATTGGCACTGAAATACATCAATCCACCGTTCATGTTTAATTGCAACAAATCACAGCCGTGTATCTAAAGATTAAGTGATGATTAACCCCAAAAGAATTTACACCAAAAACTAGTATTATTCACCCAATCTCATGAGTCATGAGACCACATTTAACCACTAAACCCCCTCAAAACCCAAACCTTAAACCCCCTCCTTAAACCCAGTTTGGTCCTCACCTCACCTCACCGCCTCCGGCCGCCGCACTGCGACGGCGGCCGGCGGCGACCCCTGCCGCCCTTCGCCGGGCACGCCGCCACCACCGGCGGCGGCGGCGCCACGCAGTTCATGTGCGCGCACACGGCGGCGCTCGCCGGGACGCCGCCCACGCCGATGCCGGTCAGGAAGTTGTCCTGCAAGAAGAGCACCCGCATCCGGCCGCCCTCCGCCGCCGCGGCGATCTCCCGCGGCACCTGGCCGGCGAACTTGTTCCCGTTCAGGTACACCGCCGCCGCCGGCGCCAGCTCGGCGGGGACGCGCCCGGACAGCGCGTTGTGGCTGAGGTCCACCGTGGCGCCGGCTGGCACCCGCCCCGATGGCCGGAGCTCGCCCGAGAACGCGTTCTTGCGGAGCTGCAGGTAGCTGATCCGGAAGGAGAACACCTCGCCGGGGACCTCGCCGGAGAACCAGTTGCCGCCGAGGTCAAGGAACGAGAGCCTCGGGAGCCTCCGGAGCACGCCGCCGACGCGGCCGGAGAACCTGTTCCCGGCGAGGGACAGGTACACGAGCGTCGCCGGCAGCGGCGGGACGCCGCCGGTGAGGCGGTTGTTCCTGAGGTCGAGATGGACCAACGGGGAGCTCACCAGCTTGGGAATCTCGCCGGAGAGGGAGTTGTGGGAGAGGACGAGCGTCCGGAGGCTCCGGATGAGGGGCAGCGACGGCGGTATCCTGCCGGAGAATGAGTTCTTGCTGAGGTCGACGGTGCGGAGCATGGGGGAGAACGTGGCGGGGAGGTCGCCGGAGAGGAGGTTCCCGGCGAGCGCCAGGAACCGGAGCGACGGGAGCGCGGCGACGGCGGGGGGGAGCTCCCCGGACACGCGCCCGGGGACGAGCGACAGCGACGCGAGCTCGGAGAGCCGCGCCAGCGCGGCGGCGGGGAGCGCGCCGGACAGCCCCGGCGCCCCCGCGCGCGGGTCGCCGAGCGCCAGGGTGACGACGCGGCCGTCGCCCGAGCACGACACGCCCGCGAACCCGCAGGGGTCGCCGGTGAAGTCCCACGACGCGAAGAACCTCGACCCCGGCATGTCCGACAGCGCGCGCCGCACCGCCTGCAGCGCCAGGTAGTCCACCGGGTGCAGCGTCGCCGCCGCCACGGGCACCGCCACGAGGAGGACGGCGGCGAGCAGCATTAGCGCCCGCGGGCGCCGCGCGGCCACCATGCGCATCGAGAAGATCGAGAAGGAGGAGGAGGAGGAGGCGAGGCGGCTGCGGCAATGGAGGAGTACGCGAGCTCTGAGCTTGGAGGGAGAAGGCTATGGGGATGAGAGCGAGCTATGCTTTGATAGCCGTGCGAGGCAGCGGGAGGTGGGGCCCACGGAGATGGTTTCTCCGCTCACTGACAGGTGGGGTCGGTGACCAGGGTGGCCCACATGGCAGTGGGTAGCCTTTTCGGAGTGAGGTGCGCGTGGAAAAGCGTGCTGGTGGTGGTGGTGGTGGAGGTGGCGAGGTCAATGCGGTGTTGAGGCCTGACGGGTGGGCCCGGGTGGGCAGCTCTCTCAGTGGAGCTTGTGGAGTAAGCTCTGCTGCTGGTTTTTACTGGAGCAGAGTGTAGTAGCTTTAACCCATCGTGCAAGCCATGACCACGCTCGTGTCAATGACAGGTGGGGCCCAGAGTTATCCGATGGGCCCGCATGTCAGTGCTCCGTGTTTCTCTCGCGTGAGCGTGTTGTGCGGAAGACAAAGTTTTACTACTACTTGCAGTACTATCCTACTCTTAACTCTTGATACATCTGATAGTTTATATAATAATTTTATATAAATATATACCATATAATTATTAATATCTAGTTCATCTCTTACACACATACTCCCTCTGTTTATATAATTAATTTTATATATGTTTGATTTTTTCAGACGGGGAGAGTACTGTTTTAGAGTGGTGATGTAGCTAGTATAAATTTATAGTTCGTTTTTTCTTCTCTTCCCCACATGTGCATGTACATGTAGCTAGCTTACGATCTTTTATCGTATTTTCTCTAACTACAATGATCCTGTTATTTTCTCAATAAAAGTTTCACGCAAACTCTTCTGAAGATGAAGATAAAGATTAAGTATTTCACGTAAAACAAGATTATAATAACGTGTGATTAATTGAGTTTTAATTATTACAAACTTGAAAAAAATGGATTAATCAGATATTTTAGAGCAACTTTCATATAGAAAGTATTCAAAATTTCATCCAACTCTTGTTGGAGAAATGAACGCTTAAGATTAAGTTGGATGAAGATTAAGATTTTAGTGGCACGCTTTTTAAACTGCTAAACGGTGCGTTTAGTGCAAAAACTTCCTATATGAAAGTTAGTCTAAATAAGTAAATATCATATTAACCTATTTTTTAAGTTTGTAATAATTAGAACTCAATCAATCATACGTCAATATCACATCGTTTTGCGTGAGAAAAGAAGACCACCAATGTGGTGCTATGTGCAACGAGGAAATTACTACTCTACCATCAACACCCGCTCAATGACAGATGGGACCCACGCAACGGGGAGAACCACGTGGCATATCCTACTGGCGAGGACAAAGCTAGCTGTATTTGGACCGTGTTGCCACTGTGGCCACCACCGGGTACACGTCGGCACATGTGGACAGTTGCTGCTTCCCCACCCCCCACCCCCACTCTGACACGTGGTCCCGGATGTGGTCCCCACATGTCTGTCACCTCACCTAGGGGCGGAAAAAGGGCGCCGCTTTGACAGTGAGTTGCAGAAACAGAGGAGATACAGGTCAAAACAGTGGGAGGCGTGGCACCCGTGCGCGTGTCACTGGCAGGTGGGGCCCACCGTCCCCAGCACGAATCTCCACGCGGCCCTGATAGTTTTTCTTTCTTTTTAGCTTTTTCATGGGGAGGAGTGATCATTAGGATAGATGACACTATGACCAGTGGGTAGAAGAGAAGAGACAAGCAGAAGGGTAAAAAGTGAGAGGATTTGTCACAATTTGGAGGGGTTTGCTACTTTGGTTTTGCACTAATGATGGGTTAGAACAAGAGAGACAAAAAGGTGGATTAAAAAGCATGAGGAGCAAACACACTTGTTTTTGCTTTACCCTAATGTCCCTATCAGGTCAGAGTATCTACCAACCTATCTAATGTATATATCACCTTTTCTTGTTTACATTACATGGCATGCTGTCTTCATGCATGCTGGCTACTGTTAAGCTAGGCTCCAATGAACTCCATGTTTGACTGATAAATCCATGGATGCTATGACAAATCACAAAGGCTAGCTCAGGTGTGCCACACAGGAAACTGAAATTCCATTTCTCTCTTCTTCTTCTTCCTCTTTTGTTGTTCTTTTACATTGTAGTTCTAATCATTGGTTTACTTGGGGGTACTCCTAATAAACAGGAAAAGCGATGAACCATGCATTGATTTCTGACCTGTTGCTTTGCTTTGCTTTTCAGTAATGTGGTTAAGACAGCTATATATATGCAAATGTTGAACTCTAGTACAATGCTCTCTATATCTGGCGCCATTGCAACTGCTTAACATTGATTCCTGATTAGTTTTGTCATACCCCTTTAGACAGTTTTGTAAATGTAGTGCCAGTATATTAGGTTATTTTGTCGGTTTTTCAGTAATGTGATTAGACTGCATTACTGTCGTGCAGACCTATTACTAAACATAACTTGGCTTTCAGTAATTGCAAACGATTGGTTCCAGAGTAAATATCTGTTTTGTCAGATTGCTTTCAATTTAGATGGCTCTATAATTGTACTAACACTACTCTACTATATAATCATCATTGTAAATTCCCTGACAAAATATTAGGTTATCTTGTCGTTTTTCCAGTAATATCATGATTTACTGGAATTGCAAACCAATGTCTCATTTGTCAGAATAACATGCTTTCAATTAGATTGGCTCCGCAAATGTACTATTACTACTACTTTAACTACTGTATAATGATCTCTGTAATTTCTCCATTTTTGTCAGCTACTTGGTCCAATCCTAACCCAGACCGATCTATCCTACAATCTGCAGCAGCGCTGTGCATCTCGTAGTACATTGTATTTGCTGTTCCTCAGCTGTATATATTGGCCAGGCATGTGAGCAACAGCACACACCCGTATGAAAACCTATAAATTTGCTGTCCTTAGAGGTAGGTTACAAATCGACAAGAGCAACTTTAAAGAGTGTGAATTATGAGCTTCCTCCCTCCCCTGAGGACAGTTTTATATTTTCAGATTTGCATGCACATATGTACTATACTACAGTAGCATTACACTACTGCATCTGCATGCTCATTTTCAGTTTTTTCACCTTCTCTGAAGCCTGAACCCTGAAGCTTCGTCAGATATTGCTCTTGCTGTGTTGCTGAAATCTCTGCATGTGTGTGTGCATGACTTTCAGTTAATGCACCGAACAAACCAAATCGATCGGTGCATTGAATCGATCAGCGTGTGTGTGTCTGCTTCAATGGAGGTAGAGATGGTTACTACCACTACTACTGAATTACTACTCTCGTTGGCACTGGTCTACTGGCTGTTGCATCTGTTGCCTGCTTGTTCTTGGCAGGCAGTAATAGTAACAGAGGTGGTGATATTCAAGATTTTTCAGGTTCAGGGCTGGGTTTAAATTAAATGTTTGATGAGCCATGGGATGCAGGGGGTCTGGGGGACCGGAACTCTGCGGTTTGGAACGAAAAAAGGTTTGAAATTTGAATACATTTTCACTGAATTTGAACAGGTTCAGAATTTTTTTGGCGGAGGCACATTTTTACAGTGATTACACTGATAGATCCAATATTTCAGACATGCTTCAGTATGGTGGTTAATTTATCACCATGTGATGTCCTGATGAGACAGATAGCAATGTGCCGCGTTCCTATGTTGCAGAGATTGCATCGGTTTTAAATTTTGCTTGGACAAAATACGGTGGTTAATTAAATGCACAGCGATTAGTTACGGAATGTACGCTTGGATCATGCTTGCAATTAAGCGCATCAGTGTTGCAGGTAGATCAATTATAAGTGTCGCCGGTCACAAGATTTAATTGCTGTGGATTGCACGCGTTCCGGGCATGGTCTAATCACTCATCTCCATTGCTAAATTGTCCGTTAATTTCGTTCATATGGTTCTTTTAAGCTAGCTCATTGGTCATGTTATAAATGCTCCGGCTAAATCTAATGACGGGAGAGGTGAAATGGTAGCTTTGAAGCTTTCAGTGTAAAGTTTGGATTTTGGTTGAAATTGGAGATGATGTGACTGAAAAGTTGTGTGTGTATGTGATGAAAAAGGACTGAAGTTTGGATCCAAACTTTGGATCTAAACACTGCCTTAATTCAAGCTGCTGCTCTAGATGTAATTTATGGTCTTTCGATATATGAACCTTCCCTTTCCATAGAACGCGGTCAGTGAGAATTAATTATTGGTGTCGTTTTTTTTTTTAGCACAGAGGGTTTGAACTCATTTTCTCTGTTCCTTCTTCTTCATGTTAAACAAATTTTGGCGATCAAAGCATAGGCTGAGTTTAGTTCTCAACTTTTTCTTCAAACTTTTAACTTTTTCATCACATCGAAACTTTCCTACGCACACAAATTTTTAATTTTTCCATCACATCGTTTCAATTTCAATCAAACTTCCAATTTTGGCGTAAACTAAACACACCTATAGACCAAATGTTTTAGCTGCACATGTCAGTCAAATGGTTTGTTATTAAAATAAATGGAGGAAATGTTTCATCTTGCCGATAGTCTAGCTTAGAAGTGTCATCGCAAACTATTCGCAAAATTATCTTCCAGGGATAAAGGAACAATCCAACCTTGAAAGATTGAAGAAGTAAAATACATTCCCTGGCACAAAAAAAAAGTTTAAAACACTCGAACCAACAAAAGACACTATCACACTAGTAGTGGACCACTTTCCGTAACAACCGCGAGCGAATTATTTACTCCATACCTATAATATTTTGTTTTCTCAAATATTTTTTTACTACGTTGCTCAGATCATTTGTTCTAATCTACTGTCTATTAAATTTCTTGATCAAAATATATAATTTATACCTATAATCATATAGATAGTCCATTATAATAATTCGGTCAGTACTATAAATTAAACGCGAGGAAGTTTAATTAGCTTTTCAAATATGACAAAAATTGTACGCATCAGAATAAAAGGTGTACGTACACTTGGATCAAAATTGGCCAGAAATTCAACTAATTACTGTGATCAGAGAGTTGTTCTATTTCTGCTGATGACGTGTGCTCACATTCGAAATCGAAGGCGAGCGCCATGTGGCGCCTCAGATCGTCCAGCTGTCGTCTCGTCGCGGAATCCTGGCCGTTCGTTTCGTGCATCTCAACGGTGCGATCCAAGGTGAAAGTCCTCCTAGACCCCTCCACACTTCGTCGATCCTCTTCGTTTTCTTGGAGTATCTGTGTAACCTACACAAGCAAGATCAATCGTTTTACATTCTAACGCAATCAAGACTAATTATTCTTACTTAATAACCATATTGATTTGCATAAATATCATCCCAAAAAATAGCGGGTGCCTCGGTTCCTCTCATCGATTTTTTTCGCGAACACGTAAAAAAATTACACGTCAATATATTAAAAGAAAAGAGTTTTTCTTACACAACGTAATCAGCCAGACCAACTTATGCTAGGGGAAGGGAGAAAAAACAAAACCAAGGAAAATGAACTACTACGACGGCTCAACGCATCTCCAATCAGCGAGAAGGGGGATGAGCCACACTACACTCCAAAGAACTCCCCCAAAAGTAGTAGTGCCAGCTAACGACCACAAATAGCCCTCCAAAAGGATGAACTCTAGAAACACAGCTAACGACCACTCATCGGTTCCTCTCATCGATGACGGACGGTGGCATCGAGAGCAACAGCCTCAGGATTGGCAGCGGTGGCCTTGGGAGCGGCGGCGGCGACGCCACGTCCTAGTTAGGAGGGGCGGATCCGTCCCCGCCAGCCTTGGGAGCAGTGGATCCACCACCGGCGAGCACAGGAGCAGCGTCGATGATCGTGCCAACCTCAACATTGACCTCGACCACGTGATGTCGACGGCCTCACGGCGATCCTGGTTAGGGTTTTGGATTTGTCCTTTCTTTTTGAAAAAAATCATTGCAGTCTAGCCTTGGCCGGTTAAAAAATTGGTTTTTACAAGCGGCCTCCTTAGAAAGTCTACCTACGAAATAGGTTTTCACGTGTGGTTGTAACGTCTGCACGTGAAAGTACCGATGTTTCACACAACTGAAGCAAGGCGGGCATGCCCACCTGACTTGAAAACGAGTTTTGACTTTTTGTGAAAATCATTTCTGTAGCAGTGAACGTACCTCGCTCATTTTGGGCCTGAGCTCCGGCGAGTTCTGTATGCAGATCTTGGCGGCGTAGGCGACGACGGCGAGCTGCCCGGCGTCGTACTGGCCGCCGAGAGCAGGATCCACCATCATCCTCACCGCGTCGTCGTCATCATCGTCGCCATCACCGCCTCCTCCGTACAGGAACGGCCTGGCCTGCAGAGACGATGACACGCGGTGGATCACGCGGACACGCACGCCGCCATGAATGATCATCACTCCATGATTGGTTGCATATTGCATCCGTGCACATGCAGAAATAACTAACGGTATGTCGAAGAGTGTACGGATGCCGGAGGTAGAAGAAGAAGATGGTTGGTTGGTAGCCTAATTAATTTAAGGTCGGAGTGAAATAATTAATTAATTACGTACCCAAGTGAGGAGGCTGAGCTTCTTGGCGTCAATGGCGCGGCGGCCGGTGAGGAGCTCCAGCAGCACGACGCCGTAGGCGAACACGTCCGTCTTCTCGTTGAAGATGCCGTGCGACGTGTACTCCGGTGGCAAGTACCTGCAAATTTATCGTGTGTTTGGTTATCGGCCACACTTTATTACAACTGAGGTTAATTAAGTTGTGATTTTCATAAAAGTATGGTGAACAAAGTTAGCCATAAAGAGTGGTAAAGTTAGTAAGAAAGTGGCAGTATGTGACATGTGGAACCACACTATTTAAAAAGTGTGACAAGCTATAACCGTGACAGTCACATACCTAACAAAATATAGCAGCTAAAAGTGTAACATGATAAAGTGTGGCCAGAAACCAAACACACTCTTAGAGGATGTATGATGATGTCTAAAGATGCCACAACTAATCTTAGATAAATTGTGGTATGAAGACTAGAAAATATTTGACCATAATGTAACATAGTTAGATGATATTTAGGATGGCCTAAGGCTAAGAAAGTACTCCCTCCGTCCCATAATATAAGGGATTTTAAGTTTTTGCTTACACTTTTTGACCACTCGTCTTATTCAAAAAATTTTGGGATTATTATTTACTTTTTTGGGACCTACTTTATTATCCAAAGTACTTTACGTACAACTTTTCGTTTTTTATATTTGCATAAATTTTTTGAATAAGACGAGTGGTCAAACATTATAAGCAAAAACTCAAAATCTCATATATTATGGGACGGAGGGAATATGATATGGCATAAATATTGCGTAACAAAATGAGGGAATGAACCAAACACCCCTCTAATCATTCATAATCAAGAGGAAGATTACTAATAAGAAATTCATTGGATAAATCGTTGATTAGTTCCTTTGAGAACATTATGATGTGACTAATTATAAATGCGTGTGAGCATAAATAATCATCAGAATGCGACATTAATTTTGCATTTGAATTGAAGTGTGCGTGCTTGGTGATTTGAGACAGACCCGAATGTGCCTTCGAATGTGGTCACTTGGTGATGCGTCATGCTGGCCGGCAGCCACTTTGCAAGCCCAAAATCACATATCTGAAAATTAAGCCCAAAAACCAAAACCACAATTTGCGAATTAAGCAAGGCCCAAGCAAAATTACGTTTTCCCTTCTGAACCAATGGACATTCCTGCAAATTATTGATATTCACAACTATGTTTGAAAAAGTTATGCAGTACTCCATTCGGTTATAAATAATTAATGTTTATATGAGAATATTCGGATAAAATTTTAAAACTACAACCATCATAACATTAAAATTTTATAAACAATAAATATTCGGTTCTAAAGTATTATAGTTAATTTTTTTCGCCGGGAAGTACTATAGTTAACTTACTACATTTTTAAAATTTGACTGATTCTTATTTTAAACGTTACTCCCTCCTTTTCATAATATAATATAAGCTGTTTTTACTTTTTTTCTAATTAAACTATTTTAAGTTTGACTAAGTTTATAGAAAAATATAAAAACATTCTCAACAAAAAACAAACATATCACCAAAATATATTAATCTTATGTGATAAATATATTGCTAAATTTTTCTACAAACCTGATAAAAAGTTTGATTATAAAAAAAAGTCAAAACAATTTATAATATAAAATGGAGGTAATAGATATTTATGACCAGATTATTAGGAGGATTTAAAAAGAATATTGCATGCAATTCAAGCCAGAGTTAAGTTGAGAGATACCATTGGCTCGTAGTCGTCTTTGAGGAGGATGTTGGCCGGCTTGACGTCGCGGTGGACGATCCGCCGCGCGCACCGCTCGTGGAGGTACTCCAGCCCGCGGGCGGCGCCGACGGCGACCCTGAACCTCGCCGCCCACGGCATGGCCTCCTCGCCGGCGGCGGCGCCGTGGAGCCTCCCGGAGAGGCAGCCGAGGCGTGAGAACGGGAACACCAGGTGCTCGCCGCCGTCCACGCCGACGCCGACGAGCCTCGCGACGTTCGGGTGGCTCAGGCTCACGATGTGGCCGAGCTCAGCCAGGAAGCTCTCCACGCGCCCGCCCCTCTCCGGCGCCGACAGCCGCTTCACCGCCACCAGCTCGCCGCCGGGGAGGCAGCCTCGGTACACCTTCGCGTGTCCTCCCCTCCCCACCACGTTCTCTGCATCCATGGGGCACGTGTTCGTGATCGATCAGTTCTTGATTCGAGCTCGATCGAGCTTGCTATGTGTTAATGGCGATGGCGGCGGCGGCGGCGACCTTTGCTGAAGTTGCGGGTGGCCTTCTTGAGCTCGGAGAGGGAGAAGGTGCGGATGGGAGGGCGGAGGGCGCAGGCCTGGCTGCCGTCGGCGGGCGCCGCGGCCGCGGCGGAGGCGGCGCTCGGCCACTGTGGCCACGCGCCGCTGCGGATGCTGAAGCGGCGGAGGGTCGACGACATCGTCGGCGCCAGCGACGGGAGGCGGCGCATGGTCCTCGACCTCCACGCCTCCGCCACGCCCTTCCATGGCTGTCGCGCCGGCGGCGTGCACAGCTTGTCGTCGTCGGCGTCGTCCTCGTCTAACGAGCTGCTGCCAGACGTCGTCTCCGTCGCCACCGCCGCCGTCGCCGCCGTCCCGGCAATATCGCAGCTGTTCTCCGCCGCCGCCGTCCCGGCAATATCGGTCGCCGTCGTGATGGCGTCGCCGCCTCGTCGCTGCTCCGCCGCGACGACCTGTCTGAGCCTTTCTTGATGGAGATTTCACTGTGCATATTTACAAACCAAATGGGATTTTACAGAAGCAAACGAAATGAAACGAAAATCTTTACCAATTGACGCGAGCAGACACGACACTCTGCAAATCCATCTCCGTCAGAGATTTCAGCTAATTAATCTGCAGATAAGCACTCGATGATCGAGTCATCCTTGGTTGTAAACTTGTAATTCAGAAGTAATTCATTGATCTATTGAATTGCTTCTCCTTGTTCCTCGATCGCCTGCATGCAAGAACAAAAAAAGAAAGAACATTTTTCCTCTTCTTTTTTTATTTATGGTTTTGGTTTCTGACAATGGCGATCTTGTTTTGGGCCTTTAAATTTTGGCGCGATATCTACGCAATGGCGCCTCTTCTTCAACTAACATAGAAAATTTACAGTAAACAATTCAATTCAACTTTCATATGAACATGAAAGTTTCCACACGTTTCAAACAGGGTCTCACAGGTTGGCAGTAAACAAAAAATTAGACAGACTAAAAAAACATTTAGATGATAACCTTGTGGTTTAAACCTTTAAGGTGAGCTGTCATCTGTATCCATTTTGGTACATTGGCGGTTACAGGGAAATTTTTTGGACTAATTTCAGTCAATTTTGATGCTTGTTGCTACGGAAGTAGAAATACTCAAATACTCCCTCCATCCCTGAATATTTGACGCTGTTGATTTTTTTAAACATGTTTGACCGTTCGTCTAATTCAAAAAATTTAAGTAATTATTATTTCTTTTCTTATTATTTCATTCATTGTTAAATATACTTTTATGTATGTATATTTTACAAAAGTTTTTGAATAAGAGAAATGGTCAAACATGTTTAAAAAAGTCAACGGCGTCAAATATTTAGGGATGGAGGGAGTATTTCCTTACAAAAAAAAAGTAGTAGAAATACTTGGGCCAATAAGGCAATAACCATGCATATTTGGTTTGCTTAATGGGCTGTATCTGGGCCTGACAAGTTGTCAATTAAAAACGAAGTATAAACACTTCTCTAGCAAACAAATTCCCGACTCATATCTGACTCAGACTCAACCAGATTCTTTCAAACTTGAGCTTAATTATACAGTAAAAAAGACTCATCAACACCTACCATTAGGCAGCAGATGACAGAAATGTTCTACATGTGCATCAACGTGATCACATTTCGACAATGATCGATAATACACCAACATGCATCCCCAAATAGCTTGGGACTGTACTACTTGGTATATAGTATAATACCATCTCCAATTGTTCTTGCCATGTTTGTTTCCTGTTGATCTCCTTGTTTTGCATGAGCTGGACATTGGTAATTAAATTACTCGTTAGACAGCTCCCAGATCCATGTGGGTAATCAAGTTTTTAAATTTGTTTATGCCTTGATGACAAAAATTAGCCATGTTGTCCCAAAGAGATCAAACCAACCCTAATTGTAAATTTGAACTTTGCATCGAGTTCCATGTTACTATATGTCTATCAAATCAGGCGTGTACGTCCTTATTCCAAATTTAAATTAAAGAAGTTGCAGTTTGTAACTTAAAATTGTCAAGATGTCAAGATCAGTATAGCTGCGGCAATCATAAGCCTTAACAAGAGCATGGGAATGATAAGAGAGAAGCATCCTTTGGAGACTCTACTTTATTATCACTTTTACTTTTGCCATCAGGATATGTTGTACAGCATGATAAAATGAGGTCATATTTGTTTGTAGCCTTATATCAGACTAAATTATCCATATTGCAAGTCATTTTTGTTTTGTACTAAGTCAAATTTACATAACTTTAACCGAGAGAATAGAAAAAATACACTAATATTCACAGTAATAAATATATGCAAAGATATGTTTCGTGGTGGATTTCAATGAAACTAATTTAATGTCATAGATGTTGGTATACTTTTCTGAAAACTTAGTCAAAATTAGAGAAGTTTCACTTATAATAAAACTAAAATGACTTACAATACGGAAAAAGAAGGAGTATATGCAAACATTTAGGTAAATACTCACAATTATTGTTCTTCTACAACATGTTTCACAAGGAACAGTACTTGTATGTCACTCCATTCCTCAATGTTATGTGGACCTGAACTCACATGTCACATAGACAACTGGAGATTTCAAAAATATTCAGCCGCAATCCTTCTCTTTTTACACCATAGAATATTTTCTTCCCTCACTGATTCTTCATATTTTAAAGCCATTGTTGGATATAAGCCACAAAACTCCAGATCTGGCAGCTGATAGAAAATTATAAGTTTCTAACCAAAGCAAGGGGTCCAGCTTGTGCCATCCATCGATCTCCCTATAAATTGGAAGCCACTTATCACTCTAATCACTCATTGCATACACGGTTAATTACATAAAGCCACTTACTATATATGCAGCTTAGTAGCAGAGCTCAAGGTTGTAGCTTCAGTTCAAGCAAGAACTGAACTTGTTGAAGGTTAGCATCAGTTAGCAGCTAAGGCCATCGCCATGGGAGTGTCCAGTGGTGCAAGCGAGTCCCTCCTTCCCCGGGCCGGCGGCGATGGATCGCTGGCCATGGTCATCGCCAGCACCGGCGTTGCCGTGCTCGGCTCCTTCGTCTTCGGCGTCTCGGTGAGTTCAAAGATCAGAATAGGATTGAAACACACTTGTCAACATTCCTTTAGATAATGGAGATTTCATTCAGAAATTACTTCTGAATTTGCAAGTGCATGAATTAATTGTATTATTCTCTTGCAGATTGGTTACTCAGCACCAACTCAGTCCAAGATCAGGGAGGATCTTCAGCTCTCGCTCTCCGAGGTTGCCGAAATTTTCGCTACTTCACTCAAATAGTATTTCTGAAATTTGTCGCAATGCCATTCTCAACTGAATTTCTACTTCTGTACAAGTTTCCCAAAAGGGGAGGACAATGTAATTCTCAGTTCCTGATCATGTTGTCCTGTTATTCTCCGCAGTATTCGGTTTTCGGATCAATAATAACAATTGGGGCAATGATAGGAGCAGTTGCAAGTGGGCACCTTGCTGACATTTCTGGAAGAAAAGGGGTATCTACAAGCCTGAATAATCTTTTATCTATTAAAATCTTTGTGAGAATTCATCAAGAGTTATAATTCATTAACCAAAAAGTTTTGTGAGTGGAGCAGGCAATGAGGACTTCTGCTCTTGTTTGCATTGTCGGATGGCTTGCAATCTTCTTTGCACAAGTACGTTTTCTTAATCTTATACTTCAATAAGTCAAGAATGTCAAGAAACTGCTTAACTGAATTCACAACTTTTCAGGGTGCTGTTTCACTTGATTTTGGGAGATTCTGTACCGGATTTGGAGTAGGAGTATTTTCATATGTGGTATGAATGATCAATCAAGGACATCACTTACTGAACATATTAATCTTTCGAGCACTGAACATATTGTTTAGATTCACTGACAGCAGCTCTTGTAACTGAACAGGTACCGGTTTTCATAGCAGAAATAGCTCCGAAAGCTCTTCGTGGGGGGCTTACAACACTGAACCAAGTAATTTTACTCTTAACAAAAACTAAACAACCTGAAGGTGCTGCAACACTTTTTAGAAAGATATATCATATTAGTGTTTGAAATCAAATTGGCGTTTCAACTGCAGTTGCTGGTGTGCACTGGGTTATCTGTTACTTATATTGTCGGTACTATGGTGACATGGCGCATGTTGGTCATAGCAGGTATATTCATAGGAAAAATCCCATACTATCATCTGGTCATGTAGAACTTACAACAAGGTAGTGATAATTTTTGTATTTGACACATTTACAGGACTTGTACCGTCCATAATTCTTATAGTTGGTCTTTCCTTCATTCCTGAATCCCCTCGGTGGCTGGTAAGGCATTGAACAATATACTTAGATTTGATTCTGAATTTCCATTCTAACAATTCAGCACCAAATTGAAAACACAGGCAAAGGTTGGACGGCAAAAGGAGTTTGAAATAGCGCTCCAACGCCTCCGTGGTAAAGATGCGGATGTGTCCATTGAAGCTGCAGAAATCAAGGTTCGACATCGTTAACAGTATATTTTAAGATACAATTATGGTGCAGAAAATTGTGATTGTTATCAGTAATTCCTCAATATATACAGGAGTTCATTGAGACCATTGAAAACCTTCCAAAGGCTGGAGTTCAGGATCTTTTCAACAGAGCCTACATCCGTCCTGTCATTGTTGGTGTTGGCCTGATGGTGTTCCAGCAGTTTGTAGGAATTAATGGAATCTTGTTCTATGCCAGTGAAACTTTTGTATCAGCCGGTAAAGTCGCAATTTTTCGCGCTTCAAAACACTAGATTTTGTCAGTTCCAGAGATGTCAGACTAAATTGTTGGTTCATTATGCAGGGTTTGCTTCAGGAGACCTAGGAACAATCTTGATGGGGTGTATCCAGGTTAAAATAATAGACGTGCAGAACTTGATCAAATTTTCCTTAAATTCTAAGTAAAAGTTTTGACTGTATACTGTTAATAACAGGCGCCAATCACAGCTGTTGGAGCATTACTGATGGACAGAAGTGGTAGAAGGCCACTGCTGTTGGTAAGTGCACTCAAATTTTCAGCACTTGGGGAACTGTTACAGCAGAAACTACTGAAAAACACACTTAACCACTTCCTTTTATTTCTATCCAGATTTCAACATCAGGACTCCTAATTGGCTCTCTCATGTCAGCAGTATCCTTCTACCTGAAGGTAATATTTGACAAAATCACTCAATCCTTACGCCTATTTTGCATTTTCCCCCAAGAAGATTTGCACCCATCTTTGTTGGGTTATGTAAACCAAATTGAAGCACATTATTTGTTGTGTAGATTCATGGGCTTTTCTTGGAGCAAGTACCAATCATCGCACTCACTGGCATATTGGTACATTGAAATTTTTATTCTGTTTGATTATTTCGAAATTTATCTGTAGTTCAGTTATGCTAAAATCCATTTTTATAACTGAAACAGGTGTACATTGCTAGCTATTCAATAGGAATGGGGGCAGTCCCTTGGGTCATAATGTCAGAGGTAAAGTGCCAAACATTCAACCACCAGATTTCAGCCTTCACTAAAGATTTCATCAAATAGAACCAGAATTCAGTGTAACATTAGCATGTTTGTTCGTATTGGATGCAGATATTTCCCATAAATATAAAAGGAATCGGTGGAAGCTTTGTGACTCTGGTGAACTGGTCCGGTTCATGGGCAGTTTCTTTTGCCTTCAACTTCTTCATGAGCTGGAGTTCTTCAGGTGAGCCAAATCTCTAGTCATGTTTTGCTGACTTTAGCCGTCTTTCACTACAACCGTGCAAAGGATAATCTTGGAAACAGTTCAAATGTACACATTTTCAAGTTTACTGTTAAATTTGTAACATGAGTTTGGAGATAAACCACATTCTGTTTCATGCAGGGACATTCTTCCTTTTCGCATTAGTTTGCGCAGTGGCCATCCTTTTCATTGTGAAGATCGTGCCAGAGACAAAAGGCAAAACTCTGGAGGAGATTCAGGCCTCAATGAATAGTAGCACATAGGTGCCAAAGGGAAAACAGAAGCCCTGACACTTTTTTGTCGGTCCATGCACTTGTTGAAAGCCATTTACCGGTTTGAGTCTTTTCTGCTCTGTAATAGAATTCAAGTTCATTTGCTGCTGCTATCAGCCAGTTCAGTCTTTCAAACAGTGCAAAAGAAATATAGTGAAAATAAAAGGCTGAGATCAATAGATATTGAGTTTGACAACCAGATAACCTTTTTACATTTGTTTTCAACTCTTCTGATGGAGCATGAACAACACAGTTACTTACAGCTGGTACTTTCTATTTCTTTCGTGAATGGATTACAAGTGATACCTAACCACACGGTGGGGTACGCCATGTTTGCAAACTAGATTTGGACAGCTGGTGGATACACCCATCACAGGTATACACATCCTGCATGCACAAGTTAGCAAAATGTCACCTGAGCGAAATACCAAACTCGACAATGATGTGATATTGAGATCAATAACGAAGAAATAGAGATGAAATATACTGGTTTTGTACATAACTGCCGTGAGCAGCACATTTAGTTATTTCAATAAAAACAAATACTGAGATGTGCAATTTCCCTATTCCCTGAAACATCATTCTACATTGGGCCATACAACCACACATTTCCTAAATAAATAAGTAGTTTATGTTGCATGTTTCGAAAATGTAAAATATGCACAGACTAGTCTTACTGATTCCTCTGAGTACAGGAGAAAACGGTTAAATGGTCATTATTACAACCAAAATGTAACATCAACCTTTTAGCCATCAGCAGGTAACTGCTCTAACTGCTCTTCCTCAAGCTCCATTTTAGATAGGTAGCATTCTCTCTCAAAAAGCAGGAATTCCTGAATTAATTACAAAATATTGCTGTTGACATTAAGAAGTTCACAAGTAATTTATATTGACCAAATAAAAAGAATATAACACTAACCTGCAACTGCTGTTGGCTGAACAAATGCATTATTCCAGATTCCGATGAAGCAACCAACTCAATGAGCTTATCACAATGATCTAGAGAATCACCTGCTTCAGATAGAGCGATGGATGCCTGAAAAATATAAGAAACATGTATCAATATATTAGCTATATACAAGCAGCACAGTAGCAATCATTTCATCTGCAACAAATCGGATATATTGCTACATCACCTGCATAGATCGTAGAATAGTTTCTGGCAGGCAGCATCTACGACAAAGCCCACGAATTATGTATGCAGCAGTGCTTTCTACTGAACCATGACCATCAGAATACCAAGCATCAAGCCGTGATATTTCAATTGAAACTCCAGGTTGAAATCGATTGAGTTCACCTGCCATAATGAATTATTCACATAAATATTACAGACTATTCCAAATCACAGTATCATAAAGTGTCGATAAATGATACCTTTGAACCCAGCAGCCATAATTGCAGCAAGAAGACCTCCATCATTGGCTTCATGAAGCCCCAAACCATCACCTTCTACTGCTAGGCAGAGGAGAGAAACTTGAATACAGCAAGGATCTTTAGATGAAACATTCACATCCACCTGTTCCATGGATTAGTCAGAAAGTGCAGGACAAACTTAGCTAAACAGTAAGTGTAAGTTAAAATGCAAATGTGTTTTGAACATTCAGTGTTCCTTATTAAAGACAGGTTACAAAAAACAATTGAGCATGGACTAACACTTCATCTTTTTATGCTCAAGAATAACATGGCATAAATTTAGGCAAAGTTTGGAACCAACCTTCAATTGACGATGCAACACTTCCGTTTCACTAACAGTAGAGTACAATGCACTTGTCAAAGCTGTGCATGATGTTGCATCTGGCAGCATGCACTCCCCAGAAGGTAGGCAGAGTATTGCAGTTGCATGTAACTCAAGAAAAACATGTTCTGAGGGCTCGATTGGACTACTCTCGACAGCATTTAACCATGGAATATCTTCCCCTGGTTATGAATGATAACAGCGTAAAAGAGGTGGTAACAAAGTTGAATAGATAGTTCCATATGCTATCAGAAGTTTAAAGTTTTGAGAAGAATATATGCAGATGAACATATATCAACATTTAGCAACTTACTGTATAATAATAAGAATGCTAACTCCAGCGTTTCTTTCGCTGCAGCAACAGCTTGACTCTTTTCTTCTGCTGAAAGCATTTCAGGAGAAATAGACGCATTCTCCATCTCAAATTTAAGCCAACTCCGGTAAGTAGCATCCAGGGAGTAATATTCATGCTGTTTGAACATATAGCAGTTACTTGGTCAAGAAAACTAACAAGATTCATAAATAAAACTATCAGTTCTAACATAACGAATAGAATATGCAAGTCAGGAGAAAAGGAGGCATCTTACCCAATCTTCAAACTCCCGTAAATTATCAGATACCTCAGGATCTTCGAGTGAAATTAAATTTTCTTTTTGTTTCAATGGTTCAGCCAGGATGGCAAGCAACTTGTGTGGTCCTACTGGTAGCTCAGGAACTCTCCTCATTGATATCAGGGAAAACTCTCTGAATAGTGTGTTGCTGATGGAGAAAGGAGTAAAAAAATAAATTCCATGGACAAAGGGAAAAGATAAATGAATACCCTTTCACAAACATGCAGTGCAACAATGAATATACAATATGGAATGACACAAAAGAGGGTTCCAAAGTTAAACTGGCAAAACAATTGAACAATCAGTTACCTGTGCATCAGTGCCCGTATCAGAAGCTTTCCACTGATCATCTGAAAATCTGGAATCGAGGATGGCGGTGTGAAGCAAAGCCACTGAATGACCGTTGCTTTCTGGAGTGCTTGTAAGTGATGCATTTCCGCAACATCAAAAATATCTTCGTCATACTTAATGGGTTTCGGTTCGCGGGATCTTGAAAGAACCCTGGAGTAAATTGAAATTCTTGTTACAACTTATCCATGAAAACAGATAAGCTAAATATCTCAAAATAAGTTCATTTCATTGCCATATACATCCCATAATCATCAGACCTCTCAATGATCTCTTCAAGAGAAGCCTTGGATGCATCTCCAGATGAGAATGGCAAATACTCCACAGCAGACAGGAAGAGCTTGAACATGGTATGCAAGCTGTTGCCAGGGGAAAAAATGAGGGTATTTAACCAAGTATTACAACTTGCAATGGCAGTCAGTAAAATAAAGAATCAAATAAAAAAAAGATTGAGAATATTTTAACATAAAACAAGGAAATCACGGTACATCAAGAGATATAGTTGCCACTTGGATATTGACACTATTTTCTATAGCAACATGCTTAGACAAACTCAAAACCGTATAGGATTGGAAAGAAAAAAGAGAAGATCAAGCTAATAAAGCCTGTACTATATATGAAAACCATATTCTATCAGGCAAATATCACATCACATTTTATCAAGGTATGTATGGACAACTGAAATACTGTTGTTGATTTTACTAATAGTGTTAAATACACTATGTCAGGAACAAAGATGAGCAAGCTTATAGAATATAAGTAAATTAATCCCACAAGTAGATGGTAAATATACGATAGTAATACCTGCTATTTAATCTTAGTTCCATCATTTCAACAAACAACTCAATGCAAAGGTCACGCTCAAGCTGAGAAGCATATACTCCAACCAATTCCTCTTGCTGCTCTGAAAACAAGTACCTCACATACCTGGAAAAAATCAATGACTTTCTGATCACGAATGAATGAAGTAAATAAAGACAAGCTAAAAACAGAATACTTAGAAACATGAGAACAAGAGTCAACTGAAGATAAAATCCCTATTTAACCATTAGATAAGACACAGAAGGCTAGAAGCAATGGATGTGAACTACTAATAAACACAATTAATATCTAAGGTTTGACCAAATGGATATCAAGAAACAACAATACAATTTGAATAATTCCATGCAGCATAAATTGCAGTTCATTTCATCAACAATACTTACATGTTGATGATGAGATCACCAACAGCAACTAGCTTTTCCTCAAACTCATCTTCCATTTCGTCGCTGAAAAGGTATCTCAGAACAAGAACAATATGTGCTCCGAAGCGTATCATATCAGGGTCATCACGGGGCCTAAATGACCAGAGAAGTTAGTCGTGAAAAAAATGTGGAATGTATTTGGAAACCATCTCTTGGAATCATAAAATACATACCTCAATATGTTTTGGTCGTCTTCAGACGGTGACACCCATGACCATAAAAGATCAAGAAGATGAGCTATATTTCCACTCATGAGATTCATCTATCAAATAATAATACGGGAAGTGGCCATTAGAGAGTGGTTAAACAACTTCCTATGTTCACTATTATAATGGATGACTATGCAAGGAGTGTAGTTTCTTGAAATTGTCTATATGCTCCATTTAATACCATGCGAAAATGATTTTTTGTGAAGAATTGAGTCATGGAAAATGATACATAAAAATTTGGACAAGTGGGAGAAATAAACAACAAATATAATATTCAAATGCTTGGAATTTAAGAACCATAAACGACTACAAGTTTAAAAAATTGACTGCCCTAGTCTAAAACTGGCTTTAGCAAGTAATTTTGGATGAGTTGCTCCCAGTTTAGAGCATTCTAATGAAGAATGCATAAAAAATTTATCTAATTTAATTCTGGCATACCACATTAGATAAACTAAGCTGAGAATGCATAAAAAATAACATGACAGGTGGTTCACCGTTCTTGCAAGTCTATTTTACCTCGATTTGTCTATGCTGCTCCCGGCATGCTCGAGAAACAGTTTCATGGACAAGGTCGCTGCATCACAAGAATGACAGAACATATAAATAGGCAAAAGATGGATTGATAGAAGTGCCATGCAATGCAATGTTAATACCTCGAGTGGAGTTTCTGCAGAAGCGCAGATATATCACGGGGTTGCTGATCAAGAACACTGTGTGGCCAACTTTCTGGGCCAGCTGAGTTCAACATAGGTTGGGTTCCATTCATCTCGTCATCAAACTGTTTCTCTTCTGGTCTACTGGTTTGGTACTGAGACAATACTAGATCCACTTGAACACCTAACCAGGATTTTGTCATTGCCCAACAAGCTGACTAGGAAATCAGAGAGAAAATAACATATCATATGGAGGTCACGCATTCAGTCAAGGAAAGAACAACTTCAAGAAATCAAACTCAAAACGTTTGCATGAGCTGAATAAACAGTATACCTCCCAGTCAGTACAGATCGGCAAGATACGCTTTAAGTTACTGCATTGTAAAGCATATACTGCCATCTCATATCGGCCACCATCTTGTTCAGCAATTTTCTACATAAATATTATCAATTTCAGATTTAGGTTTGCAAAGCATTATGTGCTGGCTACACAAAAGTGTAATGAATTTGAAGAAAATAAAAAAATTCAGACCATTAATTGAGAGCACAACAGAGCATAGTTCAAAAACAAGAGCATGTTTAACCTCTGAAGCACAATATGAAGCCCATTTCCAAAGACATAACTGCCGTCCAACACCACTTTCCAATTCAATCGCTTGCAGTGTTCTAGACTTTCCATTCTTCAGCATGGCCTCCAAGGAAGGAAACAAATCTATGCCACCAAAGGGGCAAAGAGTTGCAGCTCTCCATGACTGAAAACATACTCAAGGATCAATACACAACCAAAAGAAGGTAGAAAGATACATTATAAGAAACACATGGGATACAACTAACTGGCCTACCTGACCAGCAGACCGACACAGTTCAGATGCCTCTTCTAACCTTCCTGCTCTCAAGAGAGTCCAGATATCCTCTAAAAGCAATTCATCTTGCTTCTGCTCCCACACAAAGAAAGATGTTAACCATTATTACTTCATTAGAGATGCTAAAACATGAGATATTTAGAAAATGACTATTGAAGGAAGCAGCTTTATTTTCTAAACACACAGCACTGCCTGCTGCTGCTAATCATGTGGTTTTGCTCGAGTCTAGTTAAGAAATAAAATTTGAAGCATTAGACATGCTAGAGTTATCCACGACCTGCTATGCTATAATGAACTTAGGGAGGTCTCACATGCTATGCTGCACTACTGTTCAAACAAGGAAATTAATATGTAATGAATGGTTCTGGTAAAGTCAAACCTACCAAGTACAGTTGAACTTGCGATACATCAGTAGCCTACCTTGTCATCAGGAAGAAGTTGGGCTCCTTCACGAGTTGGAGCATCAAAATCCACATGCTTCACTATAGTAGTATCATTGTTCTTTCTCTTTATGTACCTTTGTGTACGATGCCAAACACCAGAACTTGGTAGGTATGAACCAACATGAGATCCTCTCACCTACATGGCATAAAGGCAGGATATTCTATTCCATGTCAATTATGCGGCAATAAACAATTCCTACCAACTTCTCAGCAGAAAATGAAGAACACTGAAGTGAAGTCTTCGAAAGAAAAAAAAAAACAGGCACTTTTACCTTTTTCTCCAAATCAAGAGCTTCAGAAGCAAGACCCTCAAGCCAAAGTACAATCCGTAGACATAACTGTGCCGTAAGGTCTGTTACAACAAAGCGGCAAGCTTCTTGATGGGAAGTAGTCGGTGCCTATCAACAAAAATATTGCAGACTTTAGGTGATTTTACAGTTTTGACTTCAGAGGACAAAGTATGCAGATAAATGAACTTAATACATCAGCAGCTATATATGTCTCTTACCACAAATAGCTCTCCAGGAAGCTCCTCATTTCCTGGCATGTAGCAGATGAAATTTCATTGAGGGTACAGTAAAATGATTACTTAAAGAATAATGCTGATCTATGGTTTCCATTACTGAAAGGAAAAAAAAGGGTCTCGCTTAAGTGATTGAAACTATTACCTTTCCCATAGAGGTACCAAAGAAGTGACCAAGAAGCAGCCTCATCCAGTAACAATTGCGCTTTTTGCTGCATAAGTCTATCCTCCACCATCCGAAGCTTTCCTGTCCCAGCGGACCTGAATATTGGATGGCATTGCCCAGATACCAAAGAATAGGCATCAGAGCTATGATAAAAGTATTCATCTTTGCAACTGTCAGAAATTATACACAAATTGTTTGGAGTAATCATGCATAAGATTTATCAGTATAGCATGATGCAACAAAACTATGAGTTAATGATAGGATAGCAGGAACGTTTTCAATAGCAGAGAGATAATCTAAGAATCGCTGACTGGTGACAAACAGACCGAATCTAGCAGCTCATAGGAGGCTATAGAATTGAACATGGTATAGTGCAAAGCAATAGAAAACCTTATCGACTCTGAAGCATTTCGACATGTCCTCTCAAATTGTAAAATCACATCCGAGAAGGGCATCAATCCTGCAAGAAGAATCACTCGTCAGAATTCAGAAGTCATTAACCCTTTCAAAGTAAAATCAACCATTGACTGGAAGGGAAGTTAAAAGGAGCAAAGATACAGTACCAAAAATGTATCTCAATTTAAATTTCTGGTCACATAAAATTGCCAGCTTCTGGTGCTACTATTAATGTTAACCATTTATTTGGCTATAGTATTGTGCAGGAAGAGTTTCTCTTGTAAAGTGAAAAGACATATTTTTAAGAGTAAGTAGTGGGCATGATTTGCAAGCATCCATCGTTAACTGTGCTACATGAGTTCCATGCAAGTTAGCTTACAGAAGAGCCTTCGTAGTTTCATGGTTGATCAAATTAAAGCTAATAAACAAACGCAATGGCATGAGGTGAAAATTACAGAGACAAAAGGGTGCAAATAAAGCTTGGAAACTACAGTCTATCAGGCACCAAAGAGACATCAAAGAAAAACACACAAGTAAAGGCTGCCTATGCCAAAATAGATACAGAACAGTTCATAAGACGCTTGCTATCCAAACTAAATTGCTTGTACCAACCTTGGATTGCAGAATCAAGGAGGGATGCAAAAATTGTAGAAGTTGTTTCTCCTTCATGTGGCATATCCTCCTCCAGTTTGACTGATTTCAATGCCGACCGCACTGCCTGCCTACCTGAACTGAAACCTGCATCTGAGGCATCCAATGATGCCCTTTTTTTTCCTGATCCAAACAGCTTAGATTCATCCAGGCTATCAAAATCAGAAATATCAGCAGCCTCCTGCTTGATATCTTCAAGGAGTAGACCAGCATTGGGCCGCCTCTGTATGCTGTTTCCATCACAGAACAGCCTTGCTTCTGAAAATTTGGAGACCGCAGTACCCAACAGTGGAGAGGCATTTGAAGAAGATAATCTCTTTCTGTTTAAATTATAGAGGAAAGAAAAATAATCAGCTAGTATAGTAGCCACCCCCGTAAGAGTAACAGGTTCTCACCATTTTATGCAACTAAGTTACATTTACTCTTTTCTGCAATTTTAGCTACAGCAAGTACTCAACCGTACACAAAGAGAACTCAGTGAAGAAATATAAGCTAGAGTACTGACTATATCCTGGCTTAGAACATAACTGGTTTCGTGCAGATCTTTGCGAATACAACCTGCTTGGGCATGGATCACTCAAAAGCAAAACGAGGCAGATTCATGTGCTCCACAATAGACCTTTGCCTCATGGGGAAAAAACACTAGACGGATATCTGGTTTGGTTGATTACTTGACTATTGATTTGGTCAATTCCCATTTCCCAGCACCAAAATTGACCATAGATTTGTTGAAACAAAATGGACAATCTAAACTGTCACCAAGCTGAGGCGGACAGTACTTAGCAATCTGAGCCTGACAAGAGAGACTTAACTACTGTTCTGCGACCGACTGCGACGAACCAACAGCCTGAACACCTCGTCATCAAACGCAACACCAGCACATCTAGTGTCCTCACATACAGGAAATCGATCTCTCCTCAACCAATTTCACTCCATTTCCCCTCAAACTAAGAAACCACCACAGCATCACGCTCACTCGCAGCAACGCCCGCATCGGCGCCACTCACCCACCCCGCCGGCGAGCGCGCGAAAGGGTGGAGCGCGAAGAGGAGGGGGAAGAGAGCGTCTCACCTGTAGCGGCGGTACTCCTCCCGGCGGCCGGACGACTCCGGGTCGAAGTAGTTCGCCATCGGCGGCGGCGGAGGCGGCGGCGGGTCCACCTCCATGGCGAGGCCTCAGGGACGGTGGCAGCTAGGGTTTGCGCCTCCCCCCTCCCTCTCCAATGGCCGCCGCGAGAGCTCCAAACCCCCAAACCCTAGCGCCGCCGCCCTCCTCTTTTTGGCTCGACGTGTTCGTTCGAACGAATTTTCCGAAATTTTCCTCGAATTTTCCTTCGAATTTAGAACTGGACCTTTTTTGCATGGGCCTTTCTTGTCTGGGCCCATAAGTAAAGTAGGCCCATCAAAACGGCTCAACGCCGGAGCTTTTGGGCCTAATGGGCTAACTGAATTTGGATCCGTGACAAATCCATTTCCACGATGGGCTGGGCCACACGGAAGCACAGTTTCCACGTGCGCTTTTCGTGTTCGTGTATAACACGAGTGGGTTTAGTTTATCCATAATGGTATATGATGACTAGGATGCTTTGGCGTATGTAGTATGTTTATGGCGAGCCACGTCATCTTCTTCGTGCTAATGATCATCCGTTGATTAATTAAGGGCCCACTTGTGATTAGCATAATCATAAGTACGTAAGTGAGGTACATACGTAACCATATCTCTTGGATTGGAAGAAATACATTAAAGTACTGTCAGCTCCATTAGTTGCCTAAACAAACCAAAGCAAATTGTAAAAAATGGATTCTAAAATTTAATTTTAAAGTTGATTTAGCCTACTCGGTTATACAGTTAAAATCATATATCTCAAAAAATAAACTTAGCCAATTGTTGAAATCCATGTGGTTTAATCAATATGGCCCAGTTCTTTTTCTCAACTCCAAACTACAACTTTCTCATTTTCTATTAACACGCTTTTCAAACTATTAAATGACGCATTTTTGATAAAAAAAATTATAAAGTTGTTCAAAAAAATTCAAATAAATCCATTTTTAATTTTATAATAATTAATACTTAATTAATTATGTGCTAATGATCTTTCTCATTTTACGTGCGCTGAAAACTAAGAGATCGAACGGGGCCTAAGTAGAATAGTTTTTTTTTAGGAAAACATATTTTTCCAAAACATGTAGAAAATATTACGTTTTAATAATCTGGAGAAAAAAGCTTGGAGAAAAACCAAAAATAATACTCCCTCCATTTTATATTATAAGACGTTCTAGCATTATCCACATTCATATAGATATATATGTCTAGATTCATTAATATATATATATATATATATATATATATACACACACACACACACACACTAGTAAAAGTGCCCGTGCGTTGCACCAGGAAGCACACAGATCAGAAAAAATATGCAATTAATTAAAATACAAATTCGTAGAAATATTTGGTATTTTTAAGTAGGTATATATGTGTATAATTAAATAAATTTACAAGTAAAGCAAGTGTGAGAAATAAAATGACATTGTTAAATTTAATTTTATTAAATTCTCCATGATTAGTTACGCTCTTTGGAATTTTATTGGAATTTTCAGAGCTTAATTGCTAATTTTAATAATACAAACATCATTTAATAATTATTTAATTGGAAAAAGAAAGAAAATCCTTCCTTTTAGGTTTGCTTAGAAATAAACACATTCAATAATTATAATTGTAAATGCTTCTAAAAAAATAAAGCACTATAAATGAACTTCTCTTCTTTTTCGGCCCGAGGGACCTAATATAGATTTATTTCTGGCTCGAGGGACCTAAAATAGACTTATTTCCGTCCCTTCCGGTCAGCCCACGGCCTTATCAAAACCCTAACCCTAACCCTAACCCTAATCCTCCTCTCCCTCCCCCCCTAAGCCGCTCAGCCGCCTCCCCCACCCCACTCTCGACGCCGCCTCTCCCCCTCCCCCTCTCCCCACCGGCGCCGCTTCCCCTCCCCTCCCTCCGGCGGCGCCGCTCCCTCTCCCCATCTCCCGCCTCTCCCACCACCGGCGCCGCTTCCCTTCCCTTCTCGCCGGCACGGCGCGGCGACGGCGGGCTGCGGCGGCGGCGACGGAGGGCTGCGGTGGCGGACGGCTGCGGCGGCGGCGGCGGCTTCCCCCACGCTAGCGGCGGCGGCGCCCTTCCCCACGCTAGCGGCGGCGGCTCTCCTTCCCGTCTCGCCGGCATGGCGCAGCGACGACGGGGTGCAGCGGAGACGGCGGCGACGGCCGTCCCTCCCCCTCTCCCTCTCCCCGTCGGCGTCGACGGCGACGGCGGCGTTGGCTTCGTCCGAGGGTGGATCCGTCGGCGGTGGCGGCCACCGCGGGCGGTTCCGGCAGCGGCGCTCCCTCCACCGCCTCTCTTCTCCTCCAGCGGCGGTGGTTTTTTTTTGCAATTTTTTCTATCCCTATTGCTAACCAAATAGGATTATGTATGGACGAAAAACGGACGAAAATTAGATGTGACGACCGAAAAAATACGAATATATATATATATGTGTGTGTATGTATATGGGTGTGTGTGTGGGGGGGGGGGGCGGGGGTAATACTAGAAAGTCGAAAGTGTTATCATATGAAACGGAACGGAGGAATTACATAAACTGGCGTGTGGTACCGCTCGTGGCTCTCTCACATTCCAAAATTGGGTACAGATCTAAAAATCTCATCTCCTGTACAAGCTGCGATGGGAGATGTAAGCAAAATATGCTAAGTTAGCTCGTAGCTATAGAACCCTAGCCATGGCAGTATCTACACACAATAGTACAAACGCACAGTACATTGGGATGTGGTCATCCCCACTAGCTCGCCCAGAAGATAAGAGAAGAACGTATCATCGCGTTAGGTGCAACACACATGCACATATATACAAGACCTGTCCCTCTCGATCGTCGGGAACTTATTGCAAATTAAATCGATGAAATGCACAACTTATGCACGGCCAAAGGGCAAAGGACGAGATCGGGTGTGGTGTGATATGGTCGTGTGGCAGATATCTTTGCCCTTTCTGGAGCTGCAAACACATGCTATCGATCGTATCGTATCTGTGTGGCTTTGGGACTTATCTGTTGTTGTTTTTACAGAGTTTTAACGAGGAAATGTGTATGGTTTCGTCGCAGTGGACAGTATGCAACAGGGGCAGAATGAAGCACAAAGATATCCACATGGTCTCATCTATATTGTACTACCATATGGACATTGAATTTGCTTGCTAGTGATTTAACGATCATATATAAACACTACCTTTAATTGTATTGTTTTAGTGGAAATGTAGATCTAATTCTGTAGTAGCTAGAATTTTGCCATAGGAGTTATATGACCTGGTAAAATTATATTTGATTTATAATTGCTGGGTGAAGTTTTATGCCCTATTTGAAACGGAGATTATATTATTAGATCATTAAAATGGATTATTAACAAGATTTATTTTTTAAAAAATATTTTTAAGAAGCATATGGAGCAAAAAAAAACCAATGGCAGTAATCGCTAAAAAAAAAGAATAGGGCATCCCTAATTATCGATTTAATTTGCATCCATGGTTTCTTTTCTATGAAGTGTACTACTCTCTATATCCCAATTTGATCATTACCTAATTAGGTATTTCCAAAATATCATCCTTTAATGAGCATCTCTTCATTTATTTGTAAAAAAACAATATTTAAAACTTGATGCAGTCCACGAGGTACGAAGCGACGTAGCACCTTATGATAATTAATTTTAGAATAACAAAGATTTTCTTACTCTTGGTCTCTGGACTTTTTACTTAGGTAGTGTTTGGTGGTAAGGATGGGATGGGACGAACCCGCTTTTAGGGGTGTTTGGTTAAGAGATGAGAGGGATGGGTTGGTCCCTGAAGAGGAATATTCCTCTCAGATTCGGGACTAACTGATCTCAGGACGAGCGAACGGCGTGACGACGCCTTGCTCGCGCGCTCGCCTACTCGAGCTCCGGAGCTCCAGCGTGCTCGCCCTACTCGCCCTTGGGAGCAGCGGCAGACGACTCGGGCGACGGCGACAGCGGCGGGCTCAGCAACGGCGACGACGATGGTGGGGGACTCGGCGATGGCAAATCCAGTGGTGGGGAGGACGGTGGTGGCGGATCTAGCGATGAGGAGGACTGCAGCGGTGGATCCAGCGATAGGGAGGACTACGGATCTGGTGACGGAGGAGGAGCGGCGGCGGTGTGCGAAGAGGAGCTCGCGAAGGTCGAGGGGCGGCGGCGTGCCATGGTCATGTGGGAGGTGAGCAAGCCATGGTTCTCTTCCTCTTGCTCTTGCTCGCCGCCGGCTTGCTCGTCTGCACGCCCGCTGGAGACGATCTCTTCCTCTTGCTCGCCGACAGCTTGCTCGCCCGCACGCCGGCCTGATCGTTGACGGTGGTTACAAACAGCGTCTATCCCATCTCTATCCCATCTCTCCCTCATCCCTTCAACCAAACAAAAAATTAAAATCGTCCCATCCTACAAATCAAACATGTGAGTGGAATCATCTCAATCTAAAAATCAGGGATGGTTCCATCCCATTAGTCCCAAAACGAATCACATGCTTAGGTGATAGATTAAACTGGAATGGAGGGTGTAACAAGTGATCTCAGCTACCTGGAACTAATTTACTAGTACTACCTAGTTAGGGATTTCGAATTAAGCTCGATCACGCTGCCTACTTGCCACTTGTACGCAAGAATCCATCGTCCCTTTGTTGGTGCCCATTTACTTTCTCCTCCAAGGCACCAGCATCCAAGGCCGGCCGCCTTGAAACCCGTGCCCCCGGGGGAGCTCTTCGTTGCATTGCACTCCAGCTCACACGTCTCACCCCGCTCACGCGCCCCTACACCCCCCACCCACGTCACCGACCACCGGGCCCCACCCGCCCACGGACCCCACACGTCGGTGACTCTCCGGATAGCGTCGTGGGTGGCATCCACGTCCGATTCATCCTCCCGCCAACTTGGAACCCCCCATACGCTCCCGCTCTCACTGACGTATGGGCCCGTCGCCCCCACGGTGGGGCCCGATCGGCAGTGACACGTCCTCCTCCCCGAAATGGCAGGCTCACGCGGCGTGGGCGACGGATTCGGTTGCTGACAGGTGGTCCCGCGGGGTGGATGGGGCCCACACGTCAGTTGGGGGATCAGCCTTGGAATAGTGTGGGAGCAACGGAATTACGCTTTCGTGCCACTCGCCTCCTCCCTCCGTATATAGCGCTCTCCGCCTGCATCCACTCCGGCGAGAGACGGAGAGAGAGAGGTCGCCATGCTCCGGCGAGCGGCG